CATCATCATCATCATCATCATCATCATCATCATCATCATATAGAGTATGCTTGTTCGCTTAGATATGGGATTTTTTTATTGCGCTAATCACCTAAATCTCATATTGGCATCAAATATTTTAATAATAGAGCATGTACCGCAAATGACAGGAAAGAAAAAGATTTACTAAACGCGTGTGTGACACCCATAACAGTTCACAACCCATAACACCCCAATAAATAACAGAGCGATTTCAAAACAATTAGGAAATCTAAAGCTGCTCATACTGCAATGCTTCCCACTCAATCTTCATCAGCGCTGGTGCACAATTATCCGATTTGCGTGGATCCGCGGAAAGATTAAGCCAAGTCTAATCTAGCACGTGTGAAAACGATAATCGCTAGTCGTCACGTGACACGGGATTAATTTGTCACGTGACACGGGATTAATTTTGTGTAAACCGCATTAGTGGGTTTAATCCGCAGCGGCGACGGACATTTTTATTGTTTTCTCGTTTGGAAACTTCTTCCCACGCCTTCTCGTAGCATCGCGGCTACATGAAGGATGACACATCTGTTCGTCTGCGTACGTAGGCCTACACACGCATGTGATGCACACGTGATACAGGCACCCCTCGTCGCCATTACATTACGCTTACTCACGATTTGACAAACGCGATCTCATCTGTAGTGTTGACAGTGTTACCTGTCGAATAAGTAGACTGCGGTTTTGGATATAGTCTGTATGAAGGTGCCGCGCATCAAGAAGGCTGTATAGCGGAGAGCAGCGCTACCTCGCCGCCATCTTGTTTCTGTCGTGCATTTGCGGCTTATGCTTGGCGAAGGTCGAAGATAGAGAGATGTGCGACAGTATGCTTGTTATTATACGATGCTATTACACGGGTTTTTTTTCTCGGTGGCGCTCATCTTTTACGGACGTTTTTTGGCGGTGGCTCAGAGCTCAGAGGTCACGCTGAGTTGAGAAGCTTGTCACTAGTTGAGAAGCAAACAACTCGAAACAGCGATTTTGCTTCTGTGCGGTTGTGTTCTAAGCACGTAAGAGGGACACACACATGGACACACATAGACATGCGCAACCACACACGAACACACGTACACACACATGGACACACATAGACATGCGCAACCACACAGGCACATACGTACACACATAGACAGACACAACCACACACACACGCGCGCGCACACACACGCGCGCACGGACACGCACACACACACACACACACACACACACACACACACACACACACACACACA